ATGTTTCTCTCTCATCATCAATGTTTCTAACTCTCTATCCCTCTCCTTTCCTCTCTGAAATCAATAAAGATATATTAAAAAAAAAATTCAAATAAATGGTCATAAGGATGCTCACCAAACTTCAGAGTAAAAAAGGGACTTAGAGAGAACTTCACCAAAGAGTTAGAAAGTATAATAAAGAACCAAGCAGACCTGAAAAATATGACAAGTGAAGTGAAAAAATATAATAGAAGGAATCAGCATCAGATTAGCTAAAGCAGAAGAATAGATTAGCAACCTGGAAGCCAGACTAGTGGAAACCAATCAATCAGAACAGCAAAAATAAAAAAAATTAAAAATGAGGATAGTTTAAGGGGCCTCTGGGAAAACACCAAGCACACAAACATCACATTATAGGGATCCCAGAAGGAGAAAGAAAGGAACAAATTTTCCTAACCTGGGAGAGGAAACATATACAGGTTCAGGAAGCACAAAGAGTTTCAAACAAGATGAATCCAAAGAGACCCACACCAAGACATATTGTAATTAAAAAGGCAGAAGTTCAAGAGTTCAGTGGTGCAGGGGACACTGAACTCACCCCTCCATGAGCACACTGAAATATATGCCCACACTGAAGTTAAGAGGCAATCTTAAGTGCAGCAAGAGGCAAATAAGTTGCATACAAGGGAAAACCTATAAGGCTATCCATTGATTTCTCAGCAGAAACTGTAGAGGCCAGAAGGGAGCAGTAGGACATATTTAAAGTGCTAAAAGAAAAGAACCTACAACCTAGAATACTTTACTGGGCAAGATAATTATTCAGAATTGATGGAAAGATAAAGAATTTTCTGGACAAGCAAAAACTTAAGGAGTTCATCATCACTAAACCAGCTTTACAAGAAATGGTAAAGGGTATTCTTTAAGCAGAAAATAAGAGGCCATAACCAGAAACAAGGAAATACGAGAAAGGAAAATAACCTACAGGTAAAGGCAAATATTTAATAAACACAGCAAATCAGCCATTTAAAAAGCTACTATGATAGACAAAAGACAAAAGTACCAAACTCAATAAAAACTACAACAAGTAGTTAGGAGACACACAAAACAAAGATTTATTAACAACAACAAAAGAAAACAAACAAACAAAAAATATCTAAAGTATGACCTCAAAAGCCCTAGTTGGTTTGGCTCAGTGGACAGAGTGTCAGCCTGCGGACTGGTTCGATTCTGGTCAAGGGCACGTGCCCGGGTTGCGGGCTCTATCACCAGAAAGGGGTGTGCAGGAAGCAGCCGATCAATGTTTCTCTCTCATCATTGATGTTTCTATCTCTCTCTCCCTCTCCCTTCTTCTCTAAAATCAGTTAAAAAAAATTTTTAAATTAAAAATAGATAAATGAAGTGTGACCTCAAAACATAAAGACTGGAGGGAGGGGGAGCAAAAATGTAGTCCTTTTAGAATATGAGAACTTACATGCCTAGCAGCTTAAAATAAACAGCTATAAATATAGAATGATACACAAAAACCTCATGGTAACCACAAACCAAAAACCTACAAACGATACAGAAAAAAATAGAGAAAGGAACCCAAACAGAAGAATAAAGAAAACCATCAAACCATAAGGAAAGAGATAAAGAGAAGAAGAAAGGAATAGAGAGGAACTACAAAAACAACCAAAATAAAAACAAACAGCAATAAGTACATACTTATCAATATGACTTTAAGGGCATTAAATGTTCAATAAATATACAAAGGATGGCTGAATGGATTCAAATCATGCCCTATCTATATGCTGCTTGCAAGAGACTCACTTGAAATTGACAAACACATACAGACTAAAAGTGAAGGGATGGAAGAAGATATTTCATACAAATAGAAATGAAAAGAAAACTGGGGTAGCAATGCTCATATCAGACTAAATAGACTTTAAAACAAAGAATGTAAAAAAAGACAAAGAAGGACATTATATAATTATAAAGGGGCCAATCCAAGAAGAGGATATAACAATCATAAGTATATACACACCCAACATAGGAGCACCTAACTATATAAAGTAATTATTAATGGACATAAAGGTAGAAATCTACAGTAATCCTCCTGTATAATGAAAGGCTACTATGCAAATCGATTGAACGGCAGAACGACCAGTCGCCGCGCAGGAGCTGCCCCCTTGTGGTCAGTGCGCTCCCACCGGGGGAGCACCGCTCAGCCAGAAGCAGGGCTCAGTCGGACATCCCCGAGGGCTCCAGGACTGCAAGAGGGCACAGGTTGGGCTGAGGGATGCCCCCTTGAGTGCATGAATTTTGTGCACCGGGCCTCTAGTACAATAGTAGGGGATTTTTAAATATCTATCTATCTATCTATTTTAATCCTCACCCAAGGACATGCTTAGAGAAAGGAACAGAGAGAGACAGAGAGAGAAACATCAATAGGTTGCCTTCCGTATGTGCCCCAACTGGAGATTGAACCTGAAACCCAGGTATGTGCCCTGACCGGGAATTGAACTGGCAACCTTTTGGTGCACAGGATGATGCTCAACCAACTGAACCACTCTGGCTAGGCAAAAACTGACAAATTTTTAGCTAAACTCACAGGAGAGAGCCCAAATAAATAACATTAAAAATGAAAGAAGAGACATTACAACTGAATTTGTAATGATTACAAACAAATTTGTAATGATACAAAGCATCAATAAAGGATACTATGAACAATTATATGCCAACAAACTGAACCTAGAAGAAATGGATAATTTTCTAGAAGCATATAACCTTCCAAGACTGAACTAGAAAGAAATAGAAAATCTAAACACACTGATCACTAACAATAAAAATGAAAAAACTCCCAACAAACAAAAGTCCAAGATCAGGTGGTTTTACAGAAGAATACTTATCCTTCTTAAATTATTCCAAAGAATAGAAGAAGGAGGAATGCTTCCAAACTCATTCTACAAAGCCAGTATTAACCTAAAACCAAAATGAGACAAAAACATTACACACACAAAAAAAGTTACAGGCCAATATCCTTAATAACATAGATGCAAAAATCCTCAACAAAATATCAGCAAAAAATTTTCAGTAATACATTAAAAAGAGCATACATTATGATCAAGTGGTACTTATTTCTAGGATGCAAGGTTGGTTCAATATCCACAAACCAATGAACTTGATATACAACATAAAATTAAGAATAAAAATCATACGATCATATTAGTAAATGCAGACAAGGCATGTGACAAAAGACAACATCCATTTATGATAAACTCTCAGCAAACTGGGGACAGAGGAAAAATACCTCAACCTAATAAAGGCCACACATAACAAACCCACAGCTAATATCACACTCAATGATGAAAAGCTGAAAGCTTTTTCTTTAAGATCTGGAACAAGAATGTCCACTTACACCACTTATATTCAACACAGTATTGGAAGTTCTAGTCAAAGCACTCAGACAAGAAAAAGAAATGAAAAGCATCCAAATTGTAGAGGAAAAAGTAAAACTGTCATTATTTGCAGATGACATGACATTATGGAGAGCCCTAAGGATTCCACCAAAAAACTATTAGAACTAAAGTCAGTAAAGTAGCAGGATACAAAATTAATATTCAAAAATTAGTTGCATTTTTATACACCAATAATAATCAGAAAAAAAGAAAGAAAACAATTGCTTCAAAAAGAATAACATATATAGGAATAAATTTAACCAAGAAGGTAAAAGACTTACACTTGGGAAACTATAAGACATTGAAGAAAGACATTGAAGAAGATACAAATAAATGGACGCATACACCATGTTCATGGATAGGAAGTATTAATATTAAAATGTGCATACTAAATAAATAAATAAATAAATATGTATACTACCCAAAGCAATCTACAGTTTCAATGCAATCCCTATCAAAATACCAATAGCTTTTTTCTTAGACCTAGAATACATAATCCTAAAATTTATATGGAATCACAAAAGACCCGAATAGCCACAGCAATCTTGAGAAAGAACCTTATCTCTGTAGACATAACATGTCAAGGCTGCTGCGCCCATGCAAGCACCTGTCAGGTCCCTCTCCAGCAGCTTGCTGTGAATTCGTCAACCCTGAGGTCTCTGGTACCAGCGGGGGCAACAGAGTTGGAACACTGATTCCCGGAGGCTTTCTCCTGGAAATAATGATCAATGTGTCTTGTCTTCTATGCATGAGGGGGTGGAATATAGTCTGCGATTGGAGATCCCCTTTGGAGGACGTGTCTCTAATATGAAACAGTTCAATCGTTATGTTGTACACTTGAAACTAATATGACATTGTATATCAACTATAATTAAAACTAATTTTTTTCCATACCTGGAAAAAAAATATTATTGTGCTCCTAGTTGTACAAATAAGTTTGGCTCAGTGGATAGAACATCGGTCTGAGGACCAAAGGGTCCTGGGTTCGATTCCAATCAAGGGCACGTACCTCAGTTGCAGGCTCGATCCCCGGCCCTGGTCGGGAGCATGTGCAAGAGGCAACCAATCGATATGTCTCTCTCACATCAATATTTCTCTCTCTGTGTCTCTCCCTAGGAATTAATGGGAAATTATCCTTGGGCGAGGATTAACAAAAAACAACAACAACAACAAAAACACCCTAATTTTTTTAAAAAAGTGAGCACAGCCCAGCTGGAGTGGCTCAGTTGGTTGACTGTTGTCCTATGCAGTTTGATTCCTGGTCAGGACACATACCTGGGTTGTGGGTTCAATCCCCGGTTGGGGCACATAGGTAAAGCAACTGATCAATGTTTCTCTCCCTCTACCTCTCTCTCCTTCTCCATTCCTTTCGCTCGGGTAGGAATTAAAAAAAGAAAAAAGTGAGCACAGATTTTTAGTGGATAGCAAAAAGTGTTAGTCACAGGTTCTATTGTTAACATAATGCAGACAACTACTTACATTTTTCTTTTTAAAAAAATATTTTTATTGATTTTTTTAGAAAGAGAGGGATTGAGAGAAACACCGATGAGAGAGGAACATCATCAATCGACTGCCTCCTGAACATGCCCTACTGGGGATCGAGCCCGCAACCCAGGCATGTGTCCTGACCGGGGATTGAACTGGTGACTTCTTGGTTCCTTGGGTCAATGCTCAACCACTGAGCCACACTGACCGGGCTTAAATTTTTCTATCTTAATATTCACAGCCAGAAATGTGTTTCACAAGCTACAATTCAAAAATATTATTGTGCTCCTGGTTGTATAAATAAATAAGTTAAAAAAAAAAAGATAAACTGGAGAGGTAGGCAGGGGCTAACCTCAAGCCTGGTAAACCATATTCAGGACTTAATTTTTTAAAATATATTTTATTGATTTTTTTTACAGAGAGGAAGGGAGAGGGATAGAGAGTTAGAAACATCGATGAGAGAGAAACATCGATCAGCTGCCTCCTGCACACCCCCTACTGGGGATATGCCCACAACCAAGGTACATGCCCTTGACCGGAATCGAACCTGGGACCCTTCAGTCCGCAGGCCGACACTCTATCCACTGAGCCAAACCGGTGAGGGCCATATTCAGGACTTTAAAAAACTTGGAAAGAGTCTAAGTTTGGCATGATCCAAACTGCTTTTTAAAACCATCACTCTGGAGGAAAATCAAGTGGGGACAAGACAGAAATAAATGTACACATATCCAATAAACCACTTCTCAAAGACACATAAGAAATGGGTAAAAACGTATGCCTTAAGGGAGGGACCTAGAAGGGGGACTAGGGGCCAGGGGTTGAAGGGAAACTCATTTTCACAGTATACCATCTTGTACTCCTCAAACTGTCTACCACATGTAGGTATTTCTAGTCTGAACTGTACAGGGACAGGTGAGTATAGGTGCAAGTTACAGGAAAAAATTATGTAGAAAAGCATTCATGACATATCACTAAAGGAAAGAAAAATTAAATGATACTACATTTAATTCTAATTTACATGCACCGGAAAAATGCTGGAAAATTACACAATAATCCTCAAGTGATGAGAAGTGAGCACTGCAATTACAAATGCTTTTATTTTCTACTTTATGCTTTCCCGTTTTCCTCATGTTTCCTACAGTGAACATGTTCTATACCTTTTATAATGACAAAGAACAAGGTTTTGAAGGGTGTGAGGGGGCATACCTTATGTAGACTGGTCATGCCATCATCATCTACCAGCCTGGGGTTGGACCCATGGGAGAGCAGAAGCCGTGCAATCTCCGTGTGCCCACAGTAGCTGGCCCGGTGCAGAGCGGTGGCACCCCCACGTGTCTGGGCGTCACACTTGGCCCCACTTTCCAGCAGGAACTGGCATACTGCGTAGTGTCCATTGCGGCTGGCATAGTGCTGCAGGGAACAGAGACCGAGGTTGGACAGCAGAACCAGGCAGGCGACAGGGGAAGGGGAGGGGAAAGCCTCGGTCCTAGAGCAGAGGCCTGGCTCCATCAGCTGTGTGACGGGCAACTGCCTTCATGTCTGGCATCAGTTTCCTCAATCATTTCTACCTCACGGGACTGTTATGAAAATGAAATCAAATAACTGATGTAAAGCACACTTATTTAAAAAATCCAGGTTCACATGACACTTAAAAGAGAAACCCTGCTGGGAGAGAAGAATGGGAGGGAGGAGACAAGGTAAACCTCAATCCCCCTCAGAGAGCAGGGGTCCCCCAGCTGACCCCAAGCTCCTCCCAGCTCACCAGAGCGGTGTAGCCGGCCAAGTCGGGCTGACTAGGGTCCACTGCCTTCTGGATTAAATACTTCACTCGGCCCAGGTCTCCATTCAGGGCTGCTGACCAGATTCCTAAGGAAAGACAACCAAAGTACCAAAGTACTGAACGATGCTGACCGAGGACATTTAATATTTCCTTCACCCCTTGACCTCCATTTTTTTTTCCATCCATAAAATTGGTAAGAAATGGGTGTTGGGTTAATATTCATTCAACAAATATTAACCAAGCACCTCCTCTGTGCCAAGGATTGTCCTAGGTGCTGGTGACATAGTAGTGAACCAGACAATGAGCTTGCCTGACCAGAGCAGGGGGATGGGACAGACACAGAAATCCCTTCTCCCCACTTCAAATGTTGAGTAATGTTTTAAATGGTTGAATGCACAAATTCAAAAGCAAGAAAAGAACACTGCCAGGTGCCAGAACAAGGAGAAAACCGCAGCCACAGTGGTGAGCAAGCACTGGGTCTGCAGGATTCAAAGAGTCCGCACAACTAGACACACACCTCAGGGGCTTGGGCTCCAATGCCTGAGCAGGGTCTGGAGCAAAGGGAACTGGAGAAGCTCTGTGCACACAGCCAGGAGGTGGCACATCATGGATGAACTGGGACTGAAAAACTTCTCTTGCCCTGGGTAGCGGCAGGAAGCAAGCCACCATGCCCAGGCCCTTCACTCATTCAACAAATACTCACTGAATACTTACTATGTATCTGGCACTGTTCTGGGTACTAAGGGTCAGCTGAGAATAAAAGACCTCCTCCCAAATGTTGGTCTTATGGAGCTTATATTCTAATTAAAGGAGATAGACAAGGAGAAGAAACATACATGAAATAAGTCAGGTGGTGCTAAATGCTATGAGGAAAAGTAAAGCAGAGAAGGGGTATAGGCAGTGGTGAGGGATGGCATCTCTGATAAGGTAACATTTGAACAGAAACCTAAAGGAAATGAGAAACAGCATCATCTGAATAGGTGTGCTGAGAAGATAGCAATGCAGAAGAAACTTAAAAAATCAGAGGTCCTGACCTATGCCACTTGGAGGTGTGGGACCTATATCTACCTACATTACCTTAAAGAGCAAACCCCCAAGCTAAGAATCTGGCACAAAAACAAATCCAGACAAGTGAACCCTATAAGGGCCAGTCAGAGGCAACTTTTTAAAATGACCCTTAAGGTCCAGTTGGCATGGCTCAGTGGTTGAGCGTCAACCTATGAGCCAGGTCACGGGTTGATTCCTGGTCAGGGCACATGCCCCTGTTGCAGGCTCCATCCCCAGGAGGGGGCATGCAGAGGGCAGCCGATCAAGGATGTTTTCATCACTGATGTTTCTCTCTCTCTCCTTCTCCCTTCCTCTGAAATCAATAAAAATATATTTAAAAATAATAAAATGATCCATAAGGATGCTTCTATTAGCCTCAAAGCTATGTGTGACAATCTCTTACAAAAGAGGACCCCCTGGCCAGTGTAGCTCAGTGGTTGAGCATGGACCCATGAACCAGGCGGTCTTGGTTAGATTCTCACAGGGAACATGCTAGATCCCCAGGGCATGCAGGAGGCAGCCAATCAAGGATTCTCTCTCATCATTGATGTTTCTCTCTCTCCCTCCCTCTCTCTACAACAGAAAAATAGTGTGAAAATAAAAGAATAATATTTCCAAAGGATTGGGTGGGAGGGGGAAATAACTGTCAACCTAGAATTTTATACCAGCTAAGCTACTGTGTGTGTGTGTGTGTGTGTGTGTGTGTGAAGCATGCTCATTGAAGAAACTATTAAAGGATATACTTCAGGCCTGGCCTCATGGCTCAGTGACTGAGCATCAACTTATGAACCAGGAGGTCATAGCTCGATTCCTGGTCGGGGCACATGCCCTGGTTGTGAGCTCAATCCCCAGTAAGGGACTTGCAGGAGGCAGCCGATCAATGATTCTCTTTCAACATTGATGTTTCTCTCTTTCTCTCCCTCTCCCTTCCTCTCTGAAATCAATACAAATATTTTTTTTAAAAAAGAGATATTCTTCAGGAAAAATAAAAATGAACCTGAAAGAAAATATGAAAAAAAATCCACACAACAAAAAAGATAAGGATCTTTTCCATGTGTGCAACGTAGATAATGAACAAGCAAACAAAACACAGGCACACCTCGTTTTATTGCACGTCACCTTACTGTGCCCCATGGATGTTGTGTATTTCACAAACTGAAGGCAAGATGTTCCACCCGCAAAAGCATTAGAACTCGCTTTACTGCGGTGCTTACTCCCTTTTGACAGCGGTTTGAGTCCAACCTGCAATACCTCCAAGGTGTGTCTGTGGCGTCAGATTGTAAAAACTGCTCTGATGAAAGCAAGGTCATCTCTCAGAACCTGGAGGGCAGCGGCCCACCCGACAGGTGTGCGGAGAGCCGATGGGTCCGCACCTACAGTGCCCGGAGCCCCTTGGTTGTAAGGACTCAGTGTGTGTGTCCCAGTGGTTCTCAACCTTCCTAATGCCGCGACCCTTTAATACAGTTCCTCATGTTGTGGTGACCCCCAACCATAAAGTTATTTTCGTTGCTACTTCATAACTGTAATTTTGCGACTGTTATGAATCGTCATGTGAATATCTGATATGCAGGATGTATTTTCATTGTTACAAATTGAACATAATTAAAGCATAGTGATTAATCACATAAACAATATGTAATTATATATGTGTTTTCCCATGGTCTTAGGCGACCCGTGTGAAAGGGTCGTTGTGACCCACAGGTTGGCGACCCACAGGTTGAGAACCGCTGGTAGACGGTGCCAAAGCCCTAAGGCGCGGAGCTGTGGCAGCTGCGAACGGCTGGTTCTCACCACTCGGGACCCGCGGCGGGAGCGGGAGGAAAGAGCGGGTGGGGAAGTGTTATCCTCGCCCCGCGGAGGGAGTCCGCGGCCCGAGGACCACCTGGGCCGGCTGGGCGCACAGTG